GTTTGGGGGCCCGTCTGCCCCCCCCTACCTGTGCGGAACCCGGGGGGGGTGTCTCAGGCTCAGGTCCCCCCCGTCGGGCTTCTTTAAAGCTCGTCCTGCGCCCTTCAGCTCCGGCGCTGCCGCTCCCTGCCTTCCCAAAGCAACGATCAACCGTTTCCCCGGCTTCTCACTGGAGATGGGCTGATTTTTCAGGCTTGTTTGAGTATTGGTAAAAACTCCTCAGTGTCCTGGCAAGTGCTGAGTGTAAATCTGTATTTTACACCGCTGCTTAAACAGGAAGAGCTTGTTACACTGTTAGATCCCTAAAACTACTCCTTATTTACATGGAAAAGCCCTTTAATTTATGTGTAAGACCTGATGTGATCCAGCTGTGACTGTTCCCTTTTATATCCAGCGCTACCACTATTTGGCAACGAATGCTTTTAGCTGTTTAAATGGAAGAGCTTGATGGGCTCTATTCGACTTTGATTGTGTGTACGCTGTACTGGTACATTGAGAGCATTTTTCTGCCTGATTTTAAAGTGAAGATAAATATGGAGATGCTGCTGAGATGTCCAGGTCATCGCTTTGTCATGGGATGTATATTTACATGCTTATTTAATCGTATTAATCGAGCCTTGATAAGACAAGGGTTCAGTGAAACCAGGTGAGGATGTCCGAATGCACATTGAACCTGCAGTGGTCTTTTAAGGCTTGCTGGGTGCTATAGTGAGTTCATAATGTATTAAATTAATTCTTCTAACTGTTTCTTACTAATTTTGAAACCTGGTTTGTAAGGTGATAGTATTTTGAACATGATTTACTGAACACCTTGAAGTGTATAGGGTAGAGCAGATAAGGAAATGAGTCACAGAATTGTAGCAGACCTTATCACCAAAATTTAAGTATAAAGTTTTGTCATGCTTCTTGCTGAACAAAGGGCTTTGACTCAAAAGGAATTAAGTTTCCTCTCTCCCTAAATGTGACCACAACATAATGATGGAAATCATGAAGGAAACTTCCAGCATCACTTTTTGCTTTGTGACAAACTAAAGAAAGGTCCAGATGTACATTAGGAAAACAAACCCAGTAGTTGCAGAAATACTGTGTCTGCCACAGAGCTGGAAAAAACTTGCCTATCAGTGTTAAAAAGTGGTCAGTTAAAGAAAACTTACTTTATTTTTGAGGGAGAAAAGCTAGCAAAGCAATAGTTCTTGGGTGACACTATTTCTCGGTTTTTCTCATTGAGCTGAAATTAGACTGAGCTTCTAGCCTCAGTCCCTGTGTTACTTGCAGGATCTGAACATTATTTTTGCCATTTTGAACAACACAGTCACCAGATAGTTTTAACAGAAACTTTCTCAATAGCCTTAAGCCTAAATAACTGTCCTTCGCAAAGCAGCACAGCGTGCTCCGCAGTGTAGTTGCTGATGTGTGCAGAGAAAGTCACCCTCTGGATGCTGCTGCCTGGTTGTAGGGAAATGCTGCTGGTAATGGAAGGTTTGTTGATAGCCATGCACATACCCTGAGCTGCGCAAGGATGAGCATAAAGGAGATCTTGGGGAAAAATCCTGAAATGAAACTGAGCAGACTGCTCCAATGTCCCTGCTTTTTTTGTGGTCAGAGCCAGGAGGGCTGTGGGTGACCTGCAGCTTTGCTGTTGTCTGTACCCACATGCATGGGTTTTGCATCAAAGTCCATGGTGAGTGAAAGTCTTAACAAAGCATTGCAAAAGCCATCAGTGATGGAAGCAACGCCATCACAAGAACAGAATTTGTTTCAAAATAATAGATAAATGCTAATTCTGGCATTTGGCCTAGATAGAAGACAGTTATTCCCTCTGGCAGTGTTTTTGGCTGGTACGTGTGGGGCATCTTGGGAAGGTTCTTCCTCTGCCATCTCTACACTTAGGGCTGACATAGCTTCTTCTTTCCTGCTCTGCGCTCAGGGTTAGGTATCACCCGTCTCCCTTGGATGCATCTTCTAGGATGTCTCCACTTAAGGTCAAGCCTAATGTGGCCAACCCTGTCTTGCTCATCTTTTCTTGGGAATTTGCTCATCACCTGCCCTTCTCTGACAAGTGATGAGGATACAGCCCATCTTCCTGCCTCTCAGGCCTGCAATCTGTTGTTCCTCTTGTTTTACTAGGTCGTGGTTATACTAGGTCTTCCTACAAACTTTGACTCACTTCTATAATTTTTGCATGTTGTGAATAGTTTTGTGTTCTTTGCAGCCTCCTGTCATCCCATTCTGGGAAAATGTTTTCATGTTGTGGTGAGTGGCAATGAAGTAGGATCCCTAAACATAAGCCAAAAGATAGTATTTTCTCAGGGAGGGGGGAATGTGGAGTTGTAAATCTGTTTATGTGTGGCTATGCAAGGAATCCTGCTTTACAGAAGTAAAGTACAGTATAAGGGGGGAGAACAGCTAACATAATGGACCCATAAGCTTAGCGAGATATTTGCATGAAATCAGCTTTAAAAGAAGCTCTATGGTTTGAGTATTGTTGGTACAGCTTGTTGCAACTCCAGCTGAATTTGGTGAGGCTTGCTGTTATCTGCTAACTAATCTTCAACTGAATTATTTTTGTAAATTACCAGTTTAAATATTTTAAAAGAATTCTGTCTTTTCCTGTCTTCAGCAGGTTTGATAGCTCAGCAAATGGTATCTCTTTCCCTCAAGTCCTTTCCACAACAACAGCTTTTTACATCAGAGTCCTTGGTGACTTCATTGTGGTTTCACATGCGTGAAGAACGTTGCACGCCAGATTAGTTCCTGTTCAGACTCCTTTGTTTGATAGCTTGAGTCTGAAGGAGGCAACTGTGTGAAAAGGAGATGTAGACATGTGAGTTAGGATTAAAATACATGCTTAAATATGTTTATTTAAACGGCCTACTTGAGTGAAAATTAATGTTGTGTGGATGGATTAATATATATCTATTCATCCCTTATATTAGCACGTTTTATTTCTATTATTGAAGATACTTAAATATAATTACACATAATGTCCAAGGTCTCAGCTGGTGTGGAGCTGCTGTTAGCCCACTCCTCTCCAGTGGTGTTAGCTCACATATCTGAGGGATGTCTGTAGTCAGATGGGAAAATGATTCAAACAATGCAGGGACTCTGGAGAGTCTTGAGACATTGGCTTTTCACATGCAACCTCTTAGTTATTGCTTAATACACAGGCATTGCAAAAATCTCCCTAGTGAGTTGGTTAGTCAAATTCAAGCATAGTTTACTCATTTCTGTGCCGGATATATTGCTTAATTTGATTGAGATGCATAGAGCTAGACTAAATTTCACGTTTAATGGTGTTTCTACCTCTGCTGCTAGATAGATGAGGTATTTTACTGCTATCTGTACCTGTCAAATTAAATGAAGTCCTCCAAAATCTTCATTTTGTCCATATAAGTATCTTAAAAGTCTGCTGCCATTAGACACTGCTACCTAATCTGAGAAGTTCCAGGGCTGTAATGCAAAAGATGCAGCATCAGGTTAGTTTTCCTCCACACAATCTGCCTATGGAACATTGAAGCACAGTAAAAGCAGAAGGCAAAATAAGGATTTATGAGAGATACAAGCAGTAACAAAATGCAAAGATTGTAGAATAGAATCCGGCGCCTACTCATCAGTCTTTCAGCCCAAAGCAGCCAATGGATCTGGATGCCAGATACAAATGTTGTACAGTGCAACTCAGACCTTAAAATTGGTGAGAAGGCTAGAAAAAGTGGGGTCGTCTTGTAGCCAAGAAACCCGGAGAGTTTTATACCTGGTAAGCGGCCTACGCTTCCTCTGGCAGAGTAGGAGATTTGACTGCTGGCCTTGTCCGCTTTGATTCAACTAGTTTATATTGGAAGCAACCGCTAAAATGAATGGCATCCTTCCAGTGCAAACAAAGCTGAGCTCGTGTCTGTATATAAATTGTACCTAAGAGAGTTACAAGTCCCTTTCAGTTTCCCATAATGTTCCTTGAGGACAGTTGGCAAGAAATTGTCAATTGTGTGTCGTGGAGAGCCACAGCTCATCAGATAAAATTTCGGGCAGATTGTATCAGACAGCAGAGATATCCTTTCAAGCACAACTTAAGAGAAATAGATGTGAACCCATTAACCAAAGAGGTTTTCCTGTGTCTTTAACTCACAGGACAGTATTTACAACAGAATGCAGAGGATGAGATAAGAACATTTTTTGCCAGGAAGCCTCACCAACAGGATAATTTGTGATGCAGTTTATTGTATTTCTTTTTTTTAAAATCTTTTTTTCCTGTGTCTGCTCTGGCAGTAAAGTTTCAAGTTTTAAAAAGACTCTCAAGAGCTTGTTTTAATGAAGTTGATCATCATGGCTACAAAAATGTGACAACACTTGATCTTTCTTCGTTTAATAAACAAGAAAGTAACTTAAATGAAAAGTACTTTTGATGAGAGCAGAGCCGTTTTCTTCTTCATCAGATTTTAGTGTCAGCTCACATGTGCAAATGGTATGGTTTATCATTCCCATCCTGTAAGGGTATAATCCCCTAATTATTACTGAACCTAGGAAGAATTGAAAAGCCTTGGGTTTCTTTTTGAATTACTAGAGTTATTATTCTCATTAATAATAATGAAACTGGTAATGTTGAAACCAGCCTCCTGGGCTTTCTTCAATGTTTTCAATCCTTGTGCAAGCCCCTTTTAAAGGGGGTGCAGCATGGTTCCTGCAAAACCGACTCTATTCTCATCAAAAGACAAAGAATTTGAAAATGCAGTTTGTGCTCAGCAGCTGTTTCTTTCTTACTTCACCTGCTCTAGTGTTTAAGAAGGAAAATGGATTTTTTTTTTTTTATTTTATTTTTTTTTTTTTTTTTGGGTCATCCTTCCCCACCCCATCACAGTTTCTGGCCCTTTAAAAGCATCTTTACAAGTTTGTTCTTCAGTTTGCAGCTCGACTGTTTCTCATTGATCTGGCTGTGAGAGAATGGGGCTGGTACTGGTGAAACCCATCCCCAGTCTCCCTGGTTTTAAGTCTTTAACTCAACTGACTGATCAGAACAGATCAGAATTGTGCTGATGCCTGGTCAGCGTTACCAGCTTTCACAGTGTTTTAAATAGGAGTGGTGAAACTTCTGTTGGAATTGGTTTTGTTTTTTCTTTTCTGGAATGAGCATTGAAACTCAAAGAGGCCTTTCTCTGCCTCCACATTCCCAGGAAAGGTTCATTTTTGGCAATGGCCATTGAGTAGATGGGTGAAATCCTGTTTCTGATATAGAGCTAGATAAGAGGTAAAACACTTCATCAAGCAACTTAAGAAAATGTTGGATTCTTTTTAAGCAATTGTTGAGGGTGGGAAGTGTTAGTGCACTTTGTCGGTAATGTGAAAACACAATAGATAATCAGCGTGTTCTTTCAGTAAGGAGGAAGGATATTTTTATTACTGGCCTCCAAAGAGCTTGTTCCTGTTTTGATTTCTCTTTTTAATAATATTTCTAAATGACTTCTCTAAATGTATATAGATTATACATGGAGCAATCTTCAGACTGCAGAAAACTGAGCAATGTCACATGCTTTTTGAACAGCATCTTTCTGATCTAGCAGGAAACTCCTATGCTTGTACTACCTAACATTGGCCCTTTTCTTTTGAGTGAGCATATTTTTCCCTTTGAAAACAGATGGCAGGTCCTCAGATATTTTGACACTTGTTCACTGAAGTCGTTGAGCTGTGCTGATCGGTGTGGGCTGAAAGTTAGGTACACTGTATTTCAGGACTGCTTCTTATGCATTTGACCTGCCATAGGAGGTGGGTTTTTAATTTTTATTTAAGTCTTGTAGCCAGTTGGTCCTTTTCAGAAGCAGCAGTGCAGTTTTTGGAGACATCGTTTTTAAAACATCAAGGGCTTTCTTTTTCAGAAAGGAATCTGGAATGATAAAAGCCTTTTTTTTTTTTTCCTTTGGTGAAACAGTTCTAATAGTACACGTTCTTTGACTAAAGGGACAGTGCTTTGGAAAGGAATGTGGTTATAATTGCATCGATCTTTAAGTGTTTATCTCGAATCTCTACTTTAGGGTCAGAATAGACTTGTTACTCATGATTTTCCATTAATTTCTCCTAGGAATATTCATTGCCTTATACACCACAGTTCGCACAATGCAAGGATCCCAGCACTGAATTCTATGAAGAAAGACTTAATAAATGTTGCAGCCAATGCCCTCCAGGTAGGTTATAATTCAAACTATTACTTTGCACAGCCAAATTCAGTCAGTTTTCAGATGAGCACAGTACACATGTTGATTATATATTTACACATCTGAAGAGCATCAGATTTTTGCTGTTGCAGTGCACTCTAGCTGGAAGACAATAAAGCGCTGTGACTAAAAATATCTGCAAAAGAGACACCTTCATCAGAATAGGAATTCTCATACAAGGTTAAACTGGCTGGGGCTTATCAGGAGGTAGGCTGCTTTTGTAAGCACAGCCTTCTGCTGAGCTCTTCTAAGCACAGCTTGGCAGGGTGTTTTGATTAAAGTATTTTTAAGTCAGCACTGGGGAGGAGCAACAGCCTACTAGGGGAATCGCACAAATCAGACAACATATGTCAGACCCAAGCCCACTAATAATAACTATGTTTTAAAACAGGACGTGAGGTAGAGCTTAGTTTCTGTACTTTGATAATATCATTTATGTAAGGAGCTTTTCATTGGACAGGTTACTCTCTAATTGCTCATTCAGGGAGTTTTGCTGTCTTTTAGTGTAAATCAGACGCTGCGGACCACTTTCAGACTACAAGACTACAGAAACTGTCAGCTTTGTGTCATGTCTTACACTCCAGTGATAATTATTAGTGATCTTTTGTTAGCAAAAGATCTTGACTGCAGAAAGGTGGGCGTGGAGGGTTGTTTTTTCTGGAGGATAGTAATACCATTTGGATAATTTGATAATATAGTTTCTGCAAGAGGTTGTCACTATTACATTAGACACAGCAAAAAATCTGCCTTTTTTTTTTTTTTTTTTTCCACATTACATGCTGAGCAAACAAAATATGTTTCCATAAACGATGAGTTCCTGTCAGAGATCCGGAAGTTTAAGCAGGAAATCAGTATATGCTGAAGCAGCCACAGTTGCCTGAATTAAACGAAAATGTCTAGATAGATGTGTCAAACTTCCTTTGTTAAAAACACAATGAGTGGAAGATGATAATTCATAGGTAAAACGCTTTTCTGTTGCGGTATGTACTGTTCAGTCTATTTCTCCTTAATTTTGATTTTTCCCAATAACAACCTGGACAACAAGTTGTAGGAAGTCTAATTTTTTTTTGTGTTATTATGAGTTTATTTTTTTTTAACAATAATTTATCAAAAGTTGAAGCCTAAATAATTAGCAGGATATGGGAGGCAGACCTTTAAGCTTCAAGTAAGTATATGTCAAAACACCGTCTTTGGAAATAATTCCTATGGGTCACCTCCAGGGCCCCTTCTTTTGGAGACCAGAGATTCTCCAAGCAGCTCCAGTGTTACTCCTGCTTTCTGAGTATATTTTCCAGGGTGTTTCTGAACAGGATATGAGACATCAACTTTTATCTCCTTCCTTTTAAGCAAGGGAGAAATGGCAACTGAGGTGTTTTCCTTTCTCCAAAATGGGTATGTTGGAGCTCATATTTACTTTTTCCCACTGTGAGCCAAAATGTCTCACTAACATTTTTTTACTGGGAATAGAATAGGTCAATGTAACTTTTGGAATGTGCAGACACAGCTGAAGGTTGGTGCTTTCGTAAAAAAAGAAAGGGATTTGAAGATAAGAAAATAATAAACAAGACAGTCAGAACCTGTTCTTGAAGATAACAGGAACAAGGACAGGACAAACTAAAACGAACCAGCTCGAGACACCACACAGCAGCACAACCCCCCCCAACAGACCTTTGTGAGCATGCAGGTGCACTGAGGTCAGCCAGCAGACACGGTGAGGAGGACCAACAATCACCAGAGCCCACCACCCAGCAGGAAAGCCCATGCGTAATTAGGATGCAGATACTGTGACTAGTTCCAGGAAATCTGATGCATATGTAACACACTTGGAAAAATTATGAGTATGTATGATCTTGCTGTATATTAGCTGCTGCTTATAGATCTGGGGTGTGGTCACTTCTGCGAAACTCTTTGCATGTGCACCCAGTGCTGCAATAAAAGGTCCCTGCTTCCAAAACGCCAAGATGAGTCTCAGAGAGTTCCTCTGCCAGCTCTCACAGTAACACCACCACTGCACTGAACTCTGTTGTTGGTGAGGAGCACTGGAGAAACCACCTTTGACAACTTCTGATTTTGTCTGGAATGCCACTGGCTTCAGAAATCCATTGCTTCCATCTGTTGGGGCTGGCTGAACGTGAAGGAAAAAGAGTGAGCTCACGTCCCTTCAGTAGTCACAAGAGGTGACGTTCTAGTTCAGGTCTGTTTGTGATAATACTTTATTATGCCTTTTTCACTTGCTGCCTGTAAGTGTAGTAAGGGCCTCACCATCATTCTAGCACGTGCCTGACTTTCGGCATGAACCACCATCCTGTGTTTCACCACAAAACACAGCTTCTGTGAGGGTAAAACATTCGTTTCACGTACTGCTGTAGCTGCATCTAAGTATACATTGAGGGGTTTTGTTCAGTGCTGAGACTGACTTGTTTTGAATATGGCTGGAATTCACTGAACTGAATGTAGGAAAAGGAGTCAAACATAAATAACATAAAATAAATCGGTTTCCTTGGATACACATGCATCCTCCTTTAAATCAGTACTTGCTTGGTGTACATTATGGATCAGATAGTGCCAGTGAAGGCAACGGGTTTCTACAGCTAAGAATGAAACTTAGCTTAAACAATTCCTAGTGATCTTTTCCAATGAGATGCTTTCTTTGGTTTGCTTTGTTTTTGGTTTTATTTTTAAATAGGTCAGTATAAGAGAGCGAGCTGCACTCACACTGTGGACACGAAGTGCAGTCCCTGTAGACCTGACACGTATACAGCAATCTGGAATCGGTCTCCTCAGTGCTTTGCCTGCTCACCACCCTGCAGGAAAGGTAGGCTTGGAAGGGAGGCATTTGTGATTTTAACAGCCTGCTCAAAGAGTGGGCTTGGTTTAACCTAGTCTTCTCTGTTAGAAAACCAGGAGGTTTTGTCTATCACTTGTGTAGTCCCATTCTTATGCTTTTGGTACTTGTAAGATTTGGGGAGGGGAATCAGGGAAAAGTTTTTCAGGGGGCCCTGCCTCTTTTTCTTTCTGAGTCCTAAAAATGTGACACCAATCTTACATTCTTGGAGGCAAAGGCACTGCATTACTCAAATAGATCCAAATGTCACCACTAGATAACTTCCTGCTTATATTCTCCAGCCAAGGGAGCTTAAGGCTTGACTTGCACAGGCATAAATGGATAATTACATTTCCTTCATCCAGACACTTCTCGGTTTGTCTGCTGAGCTGACAACAGCAAACACCAGTTGTGATATTCCTATAGTATTTTTATTTCTTTTGCAAAGCAGTACAGTCACTGCGTATGCCAGTTCAGTTCATTAAAGCAGACTAACAGTATATAAGGTAACAACATTCTACATTGTACCGACGTCTGTACATTGGTCTAACACATCACGTGCATTAACAAATTCAGTCATACTGTTGTCCATCATTTCTAATGGAAACGGGTGTAGAAAACGGTCTGCTTGACTCACTGGCAAGTAATTTTTAAGGGTAGAGTCTAAGCTGTTCAAAGGACCTTTGGTTTTATCTGAATAGATAATTGTGCAAGGCTGGTTAATTGCAGTATGAAAATATCTGTAGTAAGGTCTCCAGTCCCTTTAAATACAGTTGCATGGTCTGCGTAGACTACAGACCTGAGTATGGCCCCCACATACTCCAGTGATGGACACATGTAACAAAAATGTGCATACTTATGGTTGTGATACAATATAATGCAACCACAGGTACAGAGTTTCAAGTGGGCAGCCTACAGATGCAGATCTCTCCTAGAGAGAGAGAGGAAACTCTTTGGAAAATGTGTATGTTGAGGCATACAATGTATTTGTTTTATGATGGTATACTAGCCAGAAACTGCAAAATTGTCTTCAGTTTGTGGTATGTGAACATCATCTTGCATTCACTTGAAAAATTGTAGGCTACAATTTGAAATGTTGCTAATGATATCTTGCTTTATTCTTGTTTTAAAAACAGGATTTGTGCAGAATCAAACATGCACTGAGTCACAGGACAGAATCTGTAGCTGCCCACCCAATGAGTACTGCATTTCAAAAATATACGAGTACTGCAAAATATGCAAAGTGCATAAAAAATGTGGAAAAGGTTACCGAGTTTCCAGAAGAGGTAATTTAATTCTGAACGCTCTACACACAAAATAGCTTTACTATCTGAAGAAGGATATTTTTTGTGTTAATAGTCCATAAATATTGCTGAATCTGCCTCCAACTCAGTAAATTACGGGAATATGATCTTTTCATCCCCTGCAGTTACGCATTCTTTTCAGTGCAAGCATTATCTTAGTAAGTAAGCAGTAACTAGAGCAACAGTATTCTCAAGAGGCGTATTCAAAGGGACAACATGCTGCAAGCTGTTACTAACATATATCATAAAGTTCCCCAATCCACCTTAATCTTCCTTTGTTTTACTCTACTGCGTGATTTTATTCCATACAAGTGACTCAGATTCAAGACCACTTAATTCCCCCTTAAATCCTTGAAACAGGGCTTCAGGTTAGATTTGGTTACAGGAAATAATGATGACTCTATGCTGTTCTGCAGAATTTGTTCTTGTTAGATGATGAAATTCACCACTCTGATAATGTAGCTGTCTCAAGATGATAAATAATATTCAAAGAGGTGGAACACTGAATATTTTTAAGAAATTCAGAGTCATTCAAAAAGATACAGAAGTCCCAACAGAATGCAATAGGTGGTCAGTCGGTCAAGGGCTGGTGAAAAAGCTCAAATCTGTCTGCAGTACCACGTTTTAACCTTTTGGTGGGTTTTTATAGTCTTTTTCAAAGACTGCCTATCGAGGGCATTAAACCAACAGACACAAATTATGAATTGTGTTTGGGTTGGGTGTTTCAGATGAATCTCTTCTGTGACAGTTGAAGACTGTTTTGTGTACTGCCTCTGTATCACTTCCAGGATCTGTACCGCAGACCTTGATTATTCAGTCTTGTTTCTCACGGGATGACTAACTGGAGACTTTCTATTTGTTTAAAGGCACAGAGAGCACAGATACAGAGTGTAAACCTTGTCCTCTCGGCACTTTTTCACGTGAGGAATCTTATGATACCAGCTGTATACCGCATACAGTGTAAGCCAGTGTTTCTGTCTAACAGCAACCTTAACTGTGCACAGGCTTGCTTTGTTTCCTAACTTCTCTTTTTGTTTCTTGCAGTTGTAAATCCGTGGCTGTTCCTGGAAACAGCATAAATGACACCGTTTGCAACGACTCAGGAACAGCAGTTGCCACAGTTCTACCTCACAGTATCTTGAATTTGCTTCTGACCCAAAGCTCTGCTTCCAACAAACCGGAAATAATAACTCAACCTGTCATTTTAAAATCTGCACCTGACACGTCTTACATCATCGGTGAGCTATTAACTCATTTAAAGTCACTTTTATCTGGCTAGGAAGCAAATTTATATTTAGTTCTCAGTTTCTTTCCAAGACTAATTACCCGCACCCAAACAGAACCTCAGAAGAGCTGAATTAATGCAATATGACACTGTAGTGAGTTGCATAATATTTACCTATACATCTGCACTACCCCAGTGCATTCTGCAGTCCCCCTAATTCTGGAAATATTTCTAAAAAGCCCCAAACTAGATTATACAAGGCATTTCCTAAGAATTGCTACTATGAAGGAGCTGGTAGTAAAGGTCACATCTTAGATTCTGGACCAAGGCAAATTTGACTCCATAAACCTCCTGGTGAGAGGTCTTTGGAGATGTCAGCCAGCCTTTCCCAGGAAAGTCCTTACAGCATTCACAAGTGTGGATGTCTTCTCTCCTATTCACAGCCTACCCAGAAAGTATATATATGTTTAGGAGCATTCTGGGCTGCCTAACCTTGTATTTAACAATATTTGTATTGTTGCTAGCCTAGAGAGATGTCTTTTGTGACTGGGGCCAAAAGTCTGTCCTCACTTTCCAGGACAGGAAAATTCAGTGTTATGAAGTGGCGACCTGAAATCAGACCTTGGTATCCAACAATAGAAGCATCAAATGTGAATGTCAGACACACCTGATACTTGTAAATTTAGCTTTTGTAGCCATGGCCAGATACTACATAACTACCTCTTTCTAATTAGATCCTTTGTTAGATGAACCTGCTGAATAATTTATCTTTTTTATTTATTTTCAGGATCAATAGCAGGGACATTGGTTTTGGTCGTGATAATCATAATTTTGGGGTATTGCTTAGTCTCCCAAAAAAAAGGTAAGATTGATGAAGTGAAAACAAGCAGATCTGTAAATATGGGAAAGAGTGTCACCTTATTTCCTACTAATTTGAGCCTAGTGATAGACTAACGTTAGCATCTTAAAAGATGCTAAGCTCTCTTTGAAGCTTTTCTCATGGCTGGATATGACTGAAGTATAACTAGTGCAGACATACTTTGGTATCTAATAATGTATGAGTTAATTTTCTTTTTTTTTTTTTTTAAGGGGACAAGGCAATGATTTACAGGCTTCTGCCTCACCAGCCAGCAACTTACAGCTTCTTGAAACCCTACAGAGCTTTTGACACCATTCCCTTGTTACTTTGGGGTGAAATAGGCAAAAAGGTTCAAAGGTCAATAGAACAGAGACTAAGAGAAAACTCATGCAAATCAGGTTGATCACATAAGCTTTGTGGCTACAGAAAAGCAGAATTAAAAAATACTGCAGGAATTCCATATGTATTTAAAGTATCTTCATTAAATCACATGGTGTGAAATTAATCTTAGTACAGGGATACAGCGAGGCAAAAGTGCCATTCAAATCTCTCTTGTTCCTCAGACTTTAGAAAATTGTCTAAACATACCATGTCCTAGTGGAGTTGGGACAACTGTACAACAGTTGTGCTCCTACTGGAGCTTGTTAAATATTTTGTACTTCATCATTTAAATATTAGACATCATCAAATGTTATCATTAAGCAGTCATGACCGTAGTCTGTGGTCCTTTTGTCACTGACATTATACTAGAAAGATTAATTCATGCAGAGGGTCCTCTACTTGCTGGCTAAATTTAAGTCAACTTACAAAATTAATGGCTTTCAACATTTTCAAACTGTGTGTAGTAAGTGTACGTTTGGAGTTTATTTTGGGAGCAGAGGATATCACTCAGACTAGTTAAGAAAGCAGCTTTTGCAACTGAAACCAATTTGGGTGCTAATGAACTGCCTTTCCTCACTTGCAGCCCTTGTATACTCTCCGTCGACTACAGAAGCAGATTTGGTGAGTGTCGCTCCTTTCTTTACATTTTTTTCCATTTCTTTAAGAAGTCACATAGAATTCATGCAGTCTTATCTAATTCAAGTAGAAGAAAACTGCACAGCAGAAACCCAAATGGAATAAGAATGAGGTGGTTTGGTCCCCAAGCTAGAGTGTAAGATGTACCTTACGTAACCCATAGGTACCATCCTCCCTTTATGTTAGGCTGTATGAGCAGTGAACCACAAGTGTGGCTCAGAAAAGCAGATTTTAGAGCCTTTGTTCCAGGGGTGATCAGTGAAGTAGTTTAGGTGCCTTCAGGAGACAGGTTAATTTTGCTGAACACCTAATGAGCTGGTATGATTTTTGCTTAGTCACCACTATACAAATAGCAATTCTCAGTGGTTTTCTTAGCTGCCCAAGAACTGACCAGTTCTTTGATAGTGTTTTTCAGAAAGATTAATGTTTTCCATTTCTCTGCAAATGTTCCAGCCTTTTTCCCCTGCAGAAAAGCAGTGTGACAAAAAAGTAAGAAATACGGGATCGCAAAACTCCAGCAGTTCTGAACGAGAGGAACAGCATCTCTTGGGAACTTCTGGGTCTAGCAGTAGCTCCCTGAGTAATCCAGCTGCACCTGCAAGAGTCAGTGTAATAAATAACAAGAACAATGAAAAGAAAGAAAAAGAAGGACTTCAGCAGCAACATTCAGCTCCAGAAGGTTGTAAACTTCACAGTGGAGACAGGCACAACTCTGCAAGTTCAGGTAAGAATGTATCAGAATGATCCAGAACCTCTGAAATTTCATTATCAATTATGAGTCTTTTCAGCATAATTTTAAAAGGCAGGATAAAACATCAGAC